CCCACCGGCCGGGAAATAATGATTCCAACCATCGCAATGGTGATTAAATATCAACATATGGCTGCAAGTCTGTCCACCAATCTTGAATTACACCCCCGTGAGTGTGTCGGCTTGATCAAGAGAAGAAAATCTCATCTTTCGTCGTGCTAGCAAACTACAACGGGGTAACGAGTGAAAACTTGCGCTGCTGAGACGGAGTCAAGTATGGGGTGCCAAGCTTAAGGTGCTTTCGACCAGGCTTTGTGATCACACCAGTGAAACCGTGACTGACGGGAGCAGCGATGGTGTAATACAGCTTGGAGAACAAGCAATCGCTCCCATTGTTCAGCGTCTTCTGCAAGGCGCTTTCAAGTTGTGCATCCGAAGCAGCGGGCCAAGTCCTTTTGAGATGACGGAATGCAGATCAATTGATGCCTACTTGTCTCTACTGGTGCGAAATATAAGTCTGAACATGATGACCTTGCACATGGGATCTCATGATTCAAGTACACGGACTCCTGAAGCACTGAAAGTCCGATGGCAGCATGTGTGGAAGGATGTCGATCTTTTCATGTCTCCCCTGGAGGACTTGGCACCTCAAGCACCGCCTCGCACTTGACCCCTTGCGGCGATGATGTGTTATTGCAGTGCTTTCCCCCCGCAAAGAATGCCCCACGGCTGTGAAGCAGGGTTGGCGTGCTGAGCGCATGTTCGCAGGCATGCAGGACATGGCAGATTTTCCTCCAATCGCCAAGGCTTAAAGGCGCAATGGAGGCCAATGATCTTGACCATCTCATCTGTCTGCAGCCCGGAAAGGTATGAGATGAGCAGGCCACGTTCAGCGGTGCCTTGATTAGTCGAAGATCACTACCGAGAAGGATGAAGGAGCCTCTATCTACCGAGAACCGTCTGTGGAAGATGACATTCATTCGAGTTTCAAGATCCTGGGGTAATTGTGGACAGCGCGTGAATGGCACCAGCCAACCACCAACGGTCTGCAGACGCTTACTATGGGCTCCTCACGGAAGATCGACAGCGGGATGGAGACCTAAGTCAAGGTTATTCCGGAGATGCCTACAGATGTAATCTAGTTATTCTTGGTATGAGCATCGCGAGAAAGTAAGTACATCAAGCAAGTGACAATGTTATCGGAAGTCGCAAACTATAAAATAACGACTTTTCCGGAGTAACATATGGAAAAGAGTTCTTCAGCGAGCTCCAGTTTGATAAACGCGAACCTCTTCTCCCTTTACAATACTCAAATTTACCTTCTGCAATCATCCATCACTTGCCACCATGAAGTTCTCTCCCATTGCTCTGTTCGCCACGCTGGCCGTTGCTACCCCGATTACCTCCCGCAATACTCTGGCTCGTCGCCAGGCCAGCGAAGCTTGTCCCATTGGATACTGCACCGAGAACGGCGGCACCACTGGTGGCGCCGG